GATTTCTTCATTTTCAAAACTATATTTTTCATGCGTGTAAATTTAGTGACTTGTGAAGTGTTACTTAAGCACTTTGTGACTGTGTTGTTTCTCAGTACTCCCACATCCTTTGGCTTTTAGCATATGCCAATGTCCTTTGCACTGGGGATTACAAAATAGTGATTTTTCTAATTCTTTCATTCTTCTTACATTTACTATTTGGCATTCCTCTTTAAAAAGGATTTTTGGCCAGGCATGGTGGCTGGTGGCTCATGTCTGTACTCCTAGCACTCTGGGAAGCCAAGGATGAAGGATCACTTGAGCTCAGGAGTTCAAGAGGAGCCTGAGCAGAGTGAGACCCCATCTCTAATAAAAATAGAAAAATTACCTGGGCATGGTGGAGCACCCCTGTAGTCCATGCTACTTGGGAGGCTGAGGCAGGAGGATCATTTGAGCCCAGGTGTTTGAGGTTACAGTGAGCTATGGTGACACCACTGCTCTCTAGCTGGGAAAACAGAGCGAGAGACTCTGTTTCAAGAAAAAGAAAAAATAAGATTTTTCTTCCTTCCTCTTTTCCCTTCCTCCTACTGCCCTGTGGTGTTGCTGTGGACTCATAGGTTAACTTTTTTGGATGCCGTTTGTTAGAATCAATAATAGTCATTAGTCTTTTTGATGTTGACATTTTTTTCAAATTTGACTGGGAAAGCCTCTTTAAGCCAGCAGCTGTCCTGTCGACATGACCCCATTAGAGCTTCTTTGCCATCTAGCACCTGTCGTAGACTCACCTTTTACTTCTCTTGTTCCAAGATTTGGAATTACCCATTTCTCCAAAACTCTCTGGTTTCTTTTGGCAGATACTGGACTTTGGAAAGCATAGCTGTTGCTGGAGTGTTACTCCTCCTGGGCCCTTTCAGTGGACAGAACTAGGAAAGGGGTGTGTGTGTGTGTGTGTGTGTGTATGTACAATATATATCAAGTGTCAGTAAATGAAAGTAAAAAGTATATTAGAAATCATGAGTCGATGTAGATATTTCCAGTTCAAATTTAGCAGCATAGAGCTTTTGTCTTTGATTCTTTTATATATTTGTTTTATCTCTTATCACTTGCAGGAAAAATCTTGGTTTCAATTATGTTAGTATATTTCCTATTTGCTTTATCCTAAGATACATAGCAAGTCTGCATTTAACATCGTCAGTAGGTTCTTGGAAACTGCAACTTTAAGCAAAATGATGACAATACAGCAGGTTCTCAGTAAACATTGTTTTGTTCAACATCGTTAAATTATAAAGTTGATGAAAACACTTGGTTTTGTTATTGTTTCACTTAAAATTGTAGTTTCAAAGAACCTACTAATGGATGATAGTAAGTAAGGATTCACTATATATAAAATAGTTGCACAATTACCATTAGTATTATCATTAACAATAAATAGATTGAGTAAAATTGATATTTATTTGCCTTTTTAATCCCTAAATATATCCCAGAGTATAGAAGTTTAAAATTATTTGAAGTAATTCTTTGCCTATGTTACCAGTTTGATATATATAGTTCATTTGTTTTTATTTATATTACTGGGATTTACTTGTTACATTTTTTGTTTAAATTAAACACATTTAATTTATATAAAACATTTGTATGGTTCAAAAGTTAAAACTATGTTTAAAAAAATATATACCCCAAAACTTTTATCTTCCCTCTCCCTATAACCCTAGTCATAGCTACTTCCTGTAGGTAACTATTTTCATTAGTTTCTGGATTTTTTCCCATGTTTCTTTTCTAGAAACAAGTTAATGTTTTATGTGTATTCTTATAACCCTTTCTGCTACATAGAAGTATTTCATATACATAGTTCTGTATTTCCCTCTTTTAAGAATTAGTTTCTAGAAATATTTTTCTTAGTTCAGAGAGATTGGCATTCTTTTGACAGCTCCATAGTACTTAACTGTGGCTGGATATAGTACAATTCAGACCGGTCTCTTGGGGTGGACATTTGGGATGCTGCAGTGAATAACTGTACGTTGTTTTTTCATGTTTAAGGAGATGTAGCTTTAGGATAGATTCCTAGAAATGGGATTGTTGGATCAAGGTTAAATACATATATAATTTTATTAGATATTAATAAATTCTCCTCCACAGTGTTTGTAACATTTGGCTTTTCACCAGCAGTGTGTGTGTGTCTGTCCACAGCCTTAGCATAAATTTTGTTGTCAGCTTTTGAAGTTTTTCCAGTCTGATAGTAAGAATTGGTATCTCACGGTAACTTTTATTTTTATCTCCCTTATGACTGAAATTGAGCACTTTTTTCATATTTTTAAGTGCCATTTATAGATTTCTCTGACCTCTCTGTTCATAGGTTTTACTTAGTAGGGAACTATTAATAATAATTTTCTAGCAGTAAATATTCCTTACCCTAAAATAAATCGTCACTGTATCTGGCTCTTTTTGTGCTATATTCTTCTATTCTTTATCCTTAATTGGGTGAGTTATATTTAGAATCTTTAAAAAAATTCTTATATTTAAATATTGTTGTAGTAGTTACTCAAAATATGAATTTAAATGTAAAGTTACTTCGTTTGTATAAAATGTAGAATGGCACCAGAACAACAATTTTATTCTGTTTTTTATAGATCTGTGATTAAAAGCACAGCACTTCAAAGTTATGACTCATACATTTGCTTTTGTAAGAAAACTAAAGTATATTGTGGAACTAGGTAGCACGACAGTGTTAGTGAATATGTTTGGGAGGTGTCTTTAGTAATGATGTTATGAAGTGATTACAGTTGAATTACTTTTATTTTACTATCAGTTATTAAGCTGACTGCTGTTGTAGTAAATTTGTTTTAAAATTAGAGTGAAATGGAAACGTCAGCTAATTGCCTAGAAACTTAGCTGTGTAGGAGTTAGCTTAAAGTGCAGAGGAACAGATGGGACCATTTAATTTATAGAAATAATGATGGTGGAGTTCCAAGGATGTACCTATTGGTTTTATTAAATAGCTGTTGTGAAGAAGCAAGCCATCTTGTACGGGACGTACTTAAAGAATGATGTCACCCCTAATTCAGTCGGGTGGAAGGAGTGAGAATATTTAAAGCTCACATGGATATTTATGTAAAGATGCAGAAGTTGTAAAATAGTTGTAATATTCATAGGATCTATAAGTTAAGTGGTGTTCTGGTTTCTGGGAGGAAGCTCAAGTACTCATTAGTTTGTTTAACCACATTTAATTTAAAAAACCAACCAGTAGTTGAAATTTGTTGGTTGCTATTTAGAACAGATTTCATCCCTACTTTGATAGAGGAATCCGTGGCTGAATACTGCTGTGACTGAATAAAGATATTTCCCACTTTCCTCTGGAAGCTTTGTTTCCATTCTCATTTGGATTGACTTCTGAGAGGCCATAAAAAGAAATGGGTGTTGATTGCATTAAATGTGTTCTTTGTCTGGGCAAGTAGTAGGTGCTGTTCTTGCTCTCTGGGCACCTGCAGACTCCTTTTATCAGAAGAGTACAACTAGCTGAACATGGATCTTGGTTACCTGCACATGCACACATACACACATTTGCTCTGATTCTTGATATATCTATTTTTTTTAAAAAAATGTGAACAAATTGGAGAATACTTTGCAATATAAAAATTTGAGTACTCTGTATTCATAGCCTATCTTCTCAAAATATTAGACGGCTTTAAAATATTTTAAAACTACCAGTGATTGGATTCACACATAATTTTGTAGGAATACCTTTATATAAAACCATTAACAGTACTTTTGTATAAAGCAAAGTTGTTTTTTTTTTTTTACCCTTTTAGCTATTTTTGTTCCAGAAAGAATCTAAATGATGTTGTTTGTAGATTAGCACTATGAAATAATTCATCTCACTGTTAATTGGCAACTTCAACTCACTAGAACCTGCCAAGGAGCAGAAAGCAAGCAGAACAAAACCTCTGATTGGCTAAGAATTGTCATAAATTTCACAAGAGAAACCTTTGACTTTTTATCAGTGTTTATTGGCTTTTACCTTATAAATAGCTTGATCATTTGGTTTCCCAGCTCATAATAGATTAGAAGCAATAAAATAGTAGAATAGGAAGGATGAGGTGGAGCGATGATAGAAAAAGACATACTGTCAGCAGCTGTAAGTGTTCTGGACGGGAGGGCAGGAACCAGGAAAACTTTTGAAAAATTTCTATGGTGGACTTTCCTGTATAGGGGTGACACTTAAAAATTATGATAATAAAAATAATATTAACAAACCCCAAATTACCCCCCAATTCTTCACACTTTAGTAACAACCCACTAGCTTTCTGTCTCTGGGCATGTTAAGCTCAGTTCTACCCATTAACTGGGTTTAATATTATTTAAGTCAACAGAGTTATTGTGTGGATTACATAGCAGAGATTGTACGTTTAAAAACATTGAACACAATATCTGGTACAGAGTAACTGCTCAACAAATGTTAGTCATTAGTCGAATTTGAGTCTCAGTAGTTAAGCTGTGTTCATTCTACTTATTTTTTTGTGTTGTATTCCATTCAAAATGCCAAGCCCAAAATGCCAAAATGCCATGCAGACTGTACATGTTTATGTACAGTCTGCAAATCTAAAACACTCCGAAAACCATGGAAGTTTGTCACAAACTCTTTTGACCAAAAAAGCTGACCCAAATTGACATTAGGCTTCATAGAGTCTTTATCATACTTTGTGCATTATTTGCTATTTTAATGTATTATTAGAACTGCAAAGATACTGGATAGTGAGGTGCTATCTCAGACCTGTTAGTGGCATTATGTGTGTACCCATATTATTCTAAAATCTAAAAAATTCTGAATTCTAAAAGATATTTGCCCAAGAGTTTTGGATGGGACATTATGGACTTTCGGTATTTAATGTATATTTATATTGAGTTGAAAGGATAAATTCCGTATGATCTTATTTAAGAGAAGACACTACATTGTTTGATCATCTTAGAAGTGTTGATTGAGCTGATAAACACAAGTCATTGTGTTCTCTTTTCCCCCTTCACAGCAACATGAAAAGGAGAGCTTGTTGAAGGAAAGAGACCACATTTTGTCAACTCTGGGTGAGACAAAGCAGAATCTAACTGGACTTTGCCAGCAAGTCTGTAAAGAAGCAGCTCTAAGTCAAGAACAAATACAGATACTCGCCAAGTACTCAGCCTCAGATTGCCCACTTTCATTTTTAATTTCTGAAAAAGAAAAGAGTACTCCTGAGGGTAAAGTTGCTTTACCATCGATTTTTAGTCTGTCTAATGGGCCTCCAGCTGTGCTGCCCCCCAGCACGAGAGGAGACGGTGAGTCCAGCTGTGCACAGAGGCACGAGTCACAACTGACGTCCACAGCCACCTCTGAGCAAGCTGGGCTTGTGCAACAGTGTCGTCAGAGTGGTGGGATCTCAGATTTCTGCCAGCAGATGACTGATAAATGTACTACTGATGAGTAAACTTGCGTTCACTTTCTTCACACTAATTTTCTACTGAAGTTTTGGCATTGTCTTGAAAGCTAATATTGCCATCTGCTGTTTAACGATATTGTTTTTTGCCCTAGTAGTTTGCCATAAGGGAATGTCTCTTAAGTCAACCCTGATTTGTCCCTGATTTCCACAAGAGACACAGAAGTGATTTTGCCTCCTGGATACTGAAAATCACACGTGAAAATGTAGCAAGCCTTTAAAACTTATGTCTCAAAGAATAATAACTATTTGTAATAACTTCCCAATATTCAAGATAGATATGAAAGTGAAAACTGCAACACATCAAATAGCAGTTTAACAGCTCGAAATGTCAGCAGGTAGTTCTTACTAAAGAAGTGGCCTGCAGAAGTTTAATAATCTGGCCTTTTATTGCAATATACTGGTTTATAAGAAAATTTCTTCCCAAGCAATGCTAATAGTGTTCTATTCTACAAAGAAATGGGGTGTCAGCTACTGGGACTATTTGTGTAGAGCTTCAGTGTGAAACATAGGTCATCTTGTCTGAATCCTAGAGCTTTGCCCTTTGGCTCCTACTAAAACCAGAGGTAGGTTGGACGTCATTGTGACTTTTAAACTACGTTTGGAAGATTAGTAAATAGACAGGTGGTTGGGCTAAGGTGAGGGCTTCTGCTCCTCCTCAGTATGAAATTCTGGTTGCATGAACAGTAGATGAGAGTCACTTTTCCCTCTTTTTTTCTCTCTTCAGTCTGCTACATTTGGGCTGATCATGAACTTTGCATTTCTTGATGTTCTTGTCCTTTTGGAAGAGGAATAGGACTCAGGGTTCAGTGGCATGAGTGAAGGCACTGGCAGCATTGTCTTAGGCTCCCAGAATCCGGGACAGCTTATCGACACACAAGGCTGTTCACTCTTCCAGCATAGGTCACCAGTGCCACAGAGCCAGGAGTCGGGGGGAAACAAAATTTCCTACATCCGCCAGGAGTGCAGTTCATTTTTCATCCTGTTTTTGAAGTCCTATGGTTTACTTGTAAAAAGCATTATTATAGATAAAAATTTGTCTACAACAACTCTGCAGGTTTGTAAAATAGGATGAAACTCAACCTTGTTCTGGTGTGGGTTTGCATTTGGAAACCAGGTTAATCCTTTCTCTCTTCCCCAAATCTGGTATGGTATGGCACAGCAATCATTTTGACTTGGGCATTTAAAAATCAGTCTTTGTGTTTATTCGATCCTGTTATAAAATAGATGTATAATTTGAGCTCCTATCCTATAGCATTTTGCAATGCTTTTAGCATTCTGGAGTTACAGGCTTGTTTGAGAGTCAAATGAAAGCTATGGATTTTCTCAGCACTTAAAAAAAATGCATATATTCACATGAACAGAAACATTTTCAGAACCCAATTTAAAAGGGTACCAGGAAGTAGTTTATAGTGCTTGGAATAAAAAGTATTTCATTTCACCAGTTTCAAACACCTGAAAGAGATACTTCTATAGACTACATCCTGGGCCTAGTGAGGGCCTGTCTAGCTGATGTGGGTGACAACCACCCGCTGTGTTTGAATGAGTCTGAAGAAATCAGGCCTTGGCCGTGAGTGTATGTCAGGGTCAGCCTTCATGTCTCAGACTCATTTGTCAGATGTTACCCTTTTTGATCACAATGTGCGGGGAGGATATTGCTAGTGTATTTTCAGTGGCTAGTGTGTTATCTTTGTTATTGACTTACTTGTAAGAGAAAACTAGTTGGGCTTGTTTATTTTCTAGTGACTTTCATAAGTACACTAAATTTGTCAGGGAGAATGATAATTCTATGATAATGCATCCCATACTCCAAAAGAATTGCGTGTGTATACATATATCTCCCCATGTAGCTATTTCCTTAATATTTGTAATTTTAAATTTCAACTTCACAATATAAAATAATATAAAAACTTTTCTGGTTTACAAAGTGTAAAATCTTATACAAGCCAATGGAATCCTTGATTTCCTACCTCAGTGTACACTCAACTGTTTGTCATATCAGTTTGTGTATGTGCAAATGTCAGATAATCTTTTGCGTTAATTGCTACTGTAAATATTGGCTTTTTATTTTGTGATAAAACCTAGCTGTCTTCAGAGCTTCAGTATAATTTTTAAGGCGCTTGGTTTAAATTTCTCTCTATAAACAGTTTAGCATTAAGGGTTTATTTTAATGATATTGGATTATTGGCCAACTGTAATATTTCTTAAAATTTAGCATTAATTTTACTAGCCAGCATATAATACAAGTAACTACACTACCTCATACCTATGTGATTTTCAAGTTGTAATACAGATGGACAGATAAAAAAGATTTTATCTTTGTTTTTTGACCATAAGGTGGGGAAGTTTTCTATATATTGCATAGCATTACACATTTATGCTTATTTTAACCTTAACTTCTAAAGAAGTTTTTTATAAGAAAATTTGTTTCAAAGCAATATATTTTTTTTGAGGCTGCCGAAGACAAATGACAGGATTATGTGTATACAGTGTATGCCTTTTCCTTCATGCAGAGTCTTGAAAATGTTTTCAGTTTGTATATCACATATTTACATGATCATTGTTCTTTATTTTATGAACTGGTCTTCTCAATGCTTGATGATTTTTAAAAAGCTGTTATGTCTAATTCAGTAAAATATCATTACCTTAAATTTTTTTATTTGAATCCTGTAACAATAGCAAATCATTTGTTAAATTGTTATATTCAAAACAAATGTGGGTGTAATCTTGGTTCTCCATTTGTAAGTTTTATAACAATTTATAGCTTATTGCTTAACCAATTTCAAATAAGGAAGTAAATATATTTGATGCAGTAGACGATACAGGTTGCATGTGGACACTCAGCCACATTAACAACTTGGAAAGAAAAGAAATGGCAATGTTATAATGAATTCTCAGGTGAAAATTTTTCAGTTATGAAACATCTATTTTGAATTTGTAAATATTTTAAATGTTTTATTAAGGCATGTAATAAACTATTCTTTGAAACTTGTTGGGTAGGATGAAAATTTAAAGCCATAGTGGTAAAAGGTGGCATACTGATTGTAAAAGAAACAAATAATTACATTGGTTTTTTGTACCTTTCATAATGATTTTCTAACAATGCAATAAAACCACTAAACTTATATATCCATATCCTATTAAAACCATGTTTCATTAAAAGTACACTTTCGTAGTATTTAATTTACATTTTCTTCCTAATGTGCTTGCCCAAATGTAGCAAAACTATAAATGTTAGATGTTGGTGATAAATTGACAGCTAAATAAAATTCTTTAAAATTGCTTCTAATGGAATAGAGTTGTACATTCCATTTTCATTTTCTCACCTCTTGTGGATTTACTAGTTTGTCTTTTGATAAATAACCGGTATGATTAGGTTTGTAGGAGAGAATGTTTCCTTAGGTTGATTATCATGCCTAAAAAAAACCCAGCACTCAGGTGTTTTAGGAAGCACAAATTTTAGTCTTGCTTCTGATTTACTGAATCTTTAGAGATGTAAAGGGTATTACCTCTGTCATTAATTTTTAAAATCTTGTCTGCTGAGTCCACTCTACCATATTACATTCTAACCAGGCCCCTGTAATGGAGCCTTGAGCAGACGCTCAGTGCTGTTGGCCACCCAGGGTATGGTTTTCTGGTCTAGTAATAGTGAGACTCAACTGGGGATGATTTTGCCACCTTGGTGACATTTGACAATTCCCAGAGACATGAATAGCGGGGGCAGAATATAGGATATGACATCTAGTGGGCAGAGGCCAGCGATCCTACTGCGAGACAGCCTGCAGTACACAGGGCAGCCCTCACAACAGAATTGCCCACTTGAGATGTCGATCATGCAGACATGGAGGAGCCTTGACTGACCAACGATGGCATCAAGATGACTTGTAAGAAGTTGCTCAGGTATGAGAGGCAGAGTTGCGGCTAAGTGTGGAATTTCACTAAGGTTTGAAAGATTTTAAGCTGAATTGGGAGGAGGATGGTCTCTGGGGAGAGGAGGCCACCTGGCACAAAGGAGCGTGGTGTGTTAATGGAGTCGAGGAGGATGTGTCACAGTGAGAGAGGAAGAGGAGGCTCAGTTTAGATGAAGCTCCATGATGGCAGGCCCTGCTCAAGTGTCCTTCACCAGGGTGTCCCAGCATCTCAAATATTGCCCTATACAGATTGAGTTATTAAGGCCTGAGATCAGATTGTAAGGGCTTTAAGAACAACAGAAATATAGGTAGCAGGTTTTGAGGCAATAAATAGCACCCTTTCCTTGGCCAGAATTTTGAGCCATTTGAGAAATAAGGTAGTGGGTGAAGTCCATATGGAGGCCAGGTTGGAACCACTGCTTCCTAGCTGTTTAGCCCAGTGAATTTTCGAGAAGTGATTTCAGGGATTAGGTAGATTTGCCCATCCACCCAGTCACCCCAGCCTACCCCAAAGGGGCAGAGCCCTTGGAAGTGCAGGAAAATATATACAAGTGGGCAAATTTAAGACTAGGGGTGGGCTGAGCCAAGTAGGCTTAGTTGCTCTTCAAATTCACTAATCAGGATCAAAGACCTCCCCAGGGCCAGTAGGAGTAAAGGGTGGCAGAAGCCAGTAGGGTGTGTAGGGGAAAACCCTTTCTTTCCCTGGAGACCCCAGCTCTAGGTTCTCTTGAAACACTGGCTCATTACACAGCCGGGGCTGTGGTTCACAACCCTGGAGGAGGAGATAGTGGCTTCAGAGGGCAAATCTTTCAAGCAGCCTTTGTGAGGCTGCTTCCCAGTAGCAACCTCTGGAGCTGGAGCTTCCTGGAGCTGTTAGTGGATGGTAGATATTTGGCTCAGAAGGCTCTGAAATGCATAAACAAGTAAAAAGGAGGCTCTGAAACAGATCCAAGAATATACTAGTAAGTAAATAGATTCAAAGGCTGTTCTGTACCGGAGACTGAAAAATAACGTCTTATTCTATTTCTCATCTCCAATTCATTCAGGCCTCCTTGCCCCATACAGCATATCAGAAGTTCTGTATTGAGATTAAATCCCAACATAGATTCCCATATGAAAATGCAATGGAAGTCCAATAATAAAATGCTAGCAGCATAATGGTATCTGGAATTTGAATAGAAATCTATTATTCAACTTGTAGGGGGAAAAGCAGTTCAGAGATTAAATCCCTTTGTATTTAAAAAAATCTAAAGACATTAAAGTCTAAAGGAATTAAATAATCAGATTATATTGCCCTCCTGAGTTCCAAGTATGAAAACTTTACAAAAAATAAAATCCAAAAACTATCCTGCTAGATTTCTCTTTCGGGATCTATCTTAGCCAGAGGAGTTCTTGATGTGTGGATGCAGTTGAGGTGATTGCAGAAGCTGTAGCTGGAGTCTCTCTCCTGGTGTAGTTCCTGCAGGGCTCCAGAAGGAGCTAGGTTCAAGGCTGAGTCTCCGATATGCTCACTTTAGAGTTTGAAGAGTTACCACAAAATTATCATAGCCTTGGCCCCACGACCACACTCGTTTCGAAATAAGCCAATTATCAGGGACTAAAGCAGTTATCCCGGACAAAAGTATGCTCCCAAAACTTAGTACCTAGTGCTGTCAAAGACCATAGTACAAACTCAATGGTATCTGAGTAAAACAAAAGCTTCCCAGAGATGCCAGTGTTCTGATCTCACAACCTGTGATTTAATCTGTATTGGGAGGACTCTCGGGGCTTAATTTGGTTTTATGTGTGGATCATTTCTAAGGGCAAAGACTTCTTCACCTTTGCCTGCTGTCTTCGTTTAAGTTTCCCCTTCCTGCAAGGTGTTTCTGGCACCTGGGACTGATTGAGCGAGGGCTCCCTCTAGAGCCCACGTTCGTGTGTACAGGCATTTTCAGGCCTGAGACACAGTGGCTGTTTAGGCCTAAGAAAGTTGCCTCCTGGCAATGGTTTCTTTTCTTATATAGATTTTAGCAATCCAGAGTCAACTATAGATGAGCCACATGCATCCCATGCTGGTCGCTCCACTGTCTCCTCCTTGGGCCTGAATGCAGAGCAGAACTTGGGCAGCCGATGGGCCTGGGCTGTGCTGGCCTGGCACTACCAGTTAGTTACAAGCTAGAGCTTTACGAGCTCTCTGTAGTACCTTAGAGCCCAGCTGTATTGAAAGTAGTTGAAAAGTAGCACATATTATTCTTCCCAGCTACACCTAAAAGGCCTGTGAAATCTCTGTTTCCCTGGAAACCGCAGCAGTGGTGCCTTGAGGCCTCCTGCCTCTGCCTAGGGTCTGTTGCGTGGGGTCTGTGCTGCTGGTGTTGGAGAGGAACCTCACAGACCCACTCCCCACAATTCAGTTTATGCCACATTGTACCTACTTTCTAAGGCCTCTTGCAGCCCACAGGGTGTGTGTGTGTGTCAGGGGGGAATTTATGCCAGTCCTGTTTAAGATCACAGGTGGTGCATTCTAGGAAGTGACATTGACTGATAGGCATCAGGGAAGCTGATATACAGATAGTCCCCACTTTCCTTCCCTCAGATACCACTGAGTGTCTTCCATAGCCTTAGGGCACACCGGTTGCTTCACTCTGGGAATGTAACTTTTCCTGGGATGGCTGCCGTAATGGCTGGGGATTGGCTTGTTTTCAAAACAGGTGGCACAAATGCCATGATAATTTTTTTGCATCTCATTATTAACGTTGAGTCACTTTAGACCCTTGGCATTGAACTAATTCAACTTCTGAGTCCTTGAAAAAAAAAATTGAACTGTTCCAGTGAGAGGTGACCCACACCTCTGCTGAGGTCATGGTGCCCTTTGCTTAAAGATGCTCACTCAACCTTTTCAAAGGCCCTTGTAGGGCAGTTGGGACTCCACAGAAAGTCACCCTCTGAGGGTGAAACACCATAAGCAACAGTGACCCTCCGTATTCAAAATGCACAGAGACTGCTTTCAAACCTCCCACCTAGACCAACTTCACTACTGCAAAAACCCACCTGGCCTCCACAGGTAAAGTTAAAATGTCTCAACACACCATGGCTCACAAGATCCCCAATCATATGTATACATTACTATCCAAATTGTATTCTTCTGATTTTGATTTTTCAATGTCTCTGAACATTGCTCCTCAAATATTAAGTTTACAAAGGAGCATTTTATGTTCATTTCCTAAAGTTTTGAACAATTCGAGACAGAAAACAAAGCAATGGTAGATGGAAAACCAAAATAAAACCTCAGTTGCTAATAAAGGAGTTACTTAGAGTAAGTACCTAGTATAACCTCCAGAGCTGGGAAAGTTGAGTTTATCAGTCTGTTTCCTGTTGTTAGAGGGAAGTAAGTTTTTCCTATTCCTGCTGCCCATGAAGAGAGATTTTCCTGCAGGAAGTGCAGTATCTCTACACTCTCTCTGTGTCTGCTCTGGGCAGCACGCTGTGTGGGGGGCAGAGTGCAACCGGTGCTATTTGGAGACAGACATATCCCCAGAAGAAGAATGACTGTGCTGGGCAGGGACGACCAGTTATTCTTCCTAAATATATCAACCAGCCAGAGCACTCCACCTGTCCAAGGACAGATAAGCAAAGGGGCTAAGGGAGGATCTTCTCCCGGGGCCAGAGTGCAAGAGGTTAAGAGAAGAATGCGGAGAGGAATTGTATGGAGTCCCCGGGTCTGGAGGCTTTGAAATGTTTGCAGGAAGAGAAACAGCAAGATACCACAGAAGAGGAGCAGGCCCCAATGAAAGCCATGAACTTGCCCTCTCATCTGCACACTCCACCCCTAGTGGGAATACATGTTCAGATTTAAAAACAAAGTCTGACCTTGTACTTAACTGCAAATATTTTCTTTTTCCTCTCCCTCTTTGCTATTATCTACATTGTTCTTGAGGTATAAATGAAAAGATCATGGAAGAGATGTTAAAAATGGAGTAGGGTCCATTCCCTTTTCATGTAAAAATAGCCATCTTTTCAGTAGTCACTGTTTTCCCTCTCCCCTCTTAGTTTCCATTTAATCATTGTCCAGAAAGTCGGCTGTTCCCTACACGGTTAATTTTCTTCTTTCAGGAGACTGGACCTAAGTAATTGTCTAGATACCATCTTGATTGACATGCAGGTTTCTCATGTGATAAATTAATCTCTTGCAAGGAGATCCTGTTCATAATACCCAGGGTGCTGTTACATATGAAAATATCCACTATAATTTAATTTTTCTAAAGTAATACCTCTTTGGTCTACCTCAGAAACTGACAGTATTTTTGCTTTAAGCTGTTAATCTCAAAGAATCTTCCTTTGTGAAATAGGCATGCTTATATTCTGCTTGCTTTGATTGAAATGATAACCTTAAATGCTGGACA